GAACTACTGAACCCTCTCAGAAATGGAAACCCTTGGTATGACACAAAACTCTTACACAAAAAAAACAACCTTAAAACCTTGAGGAGTTTTAGATTTACCCTTTTATACTCTAACTAAATGTAAAATGTTGCATGTAATGTTTCAATGTATGTAAATCATTTCAATATTATTCATTTAAATAAATCATTTCAGTATTATTGAAGCAAACTTCTACGAATGTCAGCACAATAACTTTACATCCTAATTGAGGTTTTTTTTATTTAAACCTTGATTTAATTGTCCTTGGAAAGTCACCTTTTCACACTTTTATTGTGTTTTAGCAGATGTAGAGGCTAAGATATACAATTTAGGCAAAGCTGTATATTATTTAATGCAGTATATTTATGGATATAGAAATATGTCCTTAAACCATTGTAAAATAGACAGAAAAGTGACCAGTGGCGATATTCATATACATTAATCACTCACTCAATATCAGTAGGCTCTTTATCCTGGTCTGGGTCACGGAGGATCCAGAGTCTATCCCAGGAATACTTGGCAGGAGGTGGGAATACACCATTGATGGGATGCCAGTCAATCACAGGGCCTCATGCAAACACACATTCACACACTCATTCAAACCTAGGGGGCTAATTTATCTTTTATCCACCTGCTGGTGTGTTTTTGGGAAGTTGGATGAAACCAGAGAACCCAGAGGAAACCCAGAGGAAACCCATGCGGACATGGGGAGAGCATGCGAAACTCAACAGAGACACTAACCCAAGCTCAGGATCAAGCCATGGAGCTGGGAGGAGACAACATTACCTACCTATAAATTAATGAGGAGCAAAATAAAACTGTTTAAAAGGTTAACATAGAGGTTTATGACCTTGTAGGGTTAATGAATGTGAATGACCAGCTCTACTGTGTGTGTGTGTGTGTGTGTGTGTGTGTGTGTGTGTGTGTGTAACTGTGACAGCTGGAATGTTGTTGACTGACATAAGGCTTCAGTGTGTCCAAACAGTGATGTGACCACAGTAAGAGTGTACACTCCATACACAAACACAAGCTGCAACACTGACATACTTTATATTGCTCTATAAAATAAAACAACTCAGTGGCCAAGGTGTACGCACTCTCTCTCTCTCTCTCTCTCTCTCTCTCTCTCTCTCTCTCTAAAAATACCTTTTATGCTTTCTTTTTGGGCCCTTGAGCAAGGCTCCAGGAGCACCGTACCATGGCTGACCCTGCGCTCTGACCCCAGCTTCCTAACAAGCTGGGATATGCGAAAAAAGAATTTCACTGTGCTGTAATGTATATGTGGCAAACAAAGGCTTCTTCTGCTTCTTCTTTGTGTAGTTCTTGGTGCTTGGCTGTCTAAAATATCTCTGCTTGATTGAAATGATTTCGATAATGAAACTCTCAGTTGTATGCTTCCCTTGAAGGATAACCAAAAAACACTTATGGCTTCTAGATGTAACCTTTTCCCCCTAATAGAGCAGTTATTAATGTACAAACTCAATGTACAAACTCAGATGGCAATGATACCTGTGTATTATTGTGAATTATTTTCTTATGTCCTTAATTTATGTCATAGGCTGCTGGAGGATTCACAGAATAAGAATTTCATTGTATGGTGTAACAGACTGTTTCCTGTACATATGACAATAAACTCTTGAATCTTTTGAATCTTGAACCTACCTGCTCCGCTATCGTACCATGGTCAAATTTCAGAGCCTGTGATTGGATGATTTAGTTGGTTAGCTTTAATTCTGTAATATCACATGGCTTTATAGTCTTACAGTGCAAACATCCTGACTGAATCAAGTATTATATATTGTAAAATAATTTTAGTTGTAGAAACACAAATAGATACACATGCACACACACAAAAATATTTTCATATCATTTCCCTTTTCATTCCATTTTACTGAGAAATGTTTCATGAGCAGATTTTGTGTCTATTATTTGTATCATATTAGCACTTTATCAAATGTTTTATCACATAATATCACAGCACAGCACTTTATCTAATAATACAGTAGAGTGTGACTTACTTTTTTTTGTACATTTTTTTGTTTTGTTTTACAGTAATAAAGTTAACAATGACATTACACTAAACCTGAATCATAAACCTGTCTGAATAGATTTCAGTTTAAACCAAGAATATTGGCAAGATATGGAGCAAAATGAGTTTAGGCCACAGCTTAAGCTGTTTAGTTGAAAATAAATGAATAAATAAATACAAACACTTTAAGTGACATTAAAAATTGAAGATAGATTATTTATAACGTTAAAATATGGCAAAGGTAAACAGAACTGTACATAGCATAATAAAGTTTTTATTATTATTATTATTATTATTATTATTATTACTATTATTATTATTATTATTTTAAATGTCCTGTGCAGGCTTCCAGGATTCACTGATGATAGATGCCCTGAAATCAAACTACACACACAATATACTGTTTGTTATGCTGGAATACAGTACATTTGCAATATTTTTACTAACAGAAATAAATCTGTAATATCAGGTTTTCATTCTGTTATCCTTCATTAAAGTTCACTGCTCGGGGTAGAGGCCGGTCTTCTGCACGCCGAACGCAGTGACGAAGATGTTGATGATGACAGTGAAGAACACTAGTGCAGTCGCTATGTTATTCATTACGTCCAGCTTTCTCTGATTGGCGACGATATTGAGATCTTTACGTGCTGATAGGAGAGAAAAATAAGAAGAAAGTTTCTTGAGGAAAGCAAGCAACAACATAAACCTGCTACTCCATCTTGAAACACCAACAGCCACAACATATCTGAAAAGCTTGTAGTTTGCTTTATATACCTCGATGGCTGAAAAAGCAATTATGCTGCAGTGCTCACCCATGAGAATGAAGAAAGCCCCAGCGAGCACTTGGAATAAGAGCGAAACTGCGATGAGCACAATCACGGTTAGGTAGTACTTAAACTCAGGCCCTTGTTCCAGCACGGCTTTCAGCTGAGAAGCGTTGGCCATGAGCAGAGCCACATCCAGCATGCTTTCAGCCACCGTCTTCTTAGTGGCGTAGTGATTCATGTTGAGAGGCTGCGAGAGAGGGAAATACCACATGACCACATTACCACATTAGCAACACAGTAGAGAAGTCATTATTCCAGCACATTCAATACAAGCAAAGGAACAGCAAAGGCTATCTATATATCCTACACTTGCATGCAAATGTTAGGGCACCCCTGGCCAGTTTGCATATTTTGTACATTTTTGGACAGAAGTATATAAATATAACCTCAGCAATTTACAAAGAAAATTTTTCTATTATTTACAAAGAAAAATAACATTTTCTGCAAATGTTAATGCACAGTTATATTTGATTAACTTCAAAAACAGAAAAAAAAAGGTTTGGACAGCCATCCTGTTGAAAAGTCTCGGAACGTCATTAACTCATTAGAGCTTCATTGACTCATTAAGACTCGTTACTCACTGTCATTAGGAATTGCCAGCTGATGACAGTTCCAGAGCGTAATAAATTATCTGACTCAGCAGCTGACTAAGGATCTGAAAATGAAGCTAATTGATGACTTCAGAGCAGAGGATGGTTATAAATAGATATCAAAGTGCTTCCAGCTCGCAATTTCCACTGTCCAAAATGTCATTAAAAAATGGCAGTTAAATACAAGTCAAGGCAAGATCTGGAAGACCAAGAAAGCTCTCAGATAGAATTGCCTGTATGGTAAGCAGAAAGACAAAGCAAAAACACCCAAATGACACCTATAGGGCATGCAGGAAGATTTAGCTGACACAGGAATGGTGGTGCACCGTTCTACTCTGCAGCATTGCTTGTACAAACATGATCTGCATGGAAGAGTCATCAGAAGGAAATCTGGTCTGTGACCTTATGACAAAAGCCAACATCTTATAGATAAGACAGAGGCATTTTGGAAACAAGTGCTCTCTGTTCCACAATCACCAAAGGTATGTTTGACTGAAAAAAAGGAGTAGCATACTGAGAAAAGCTTTCCATGTAAGTGTTATCTTGAGATAGCTAGCTAGCTAATGAACCTACCAATCTACTGAAAGCCCAGCAGCATTTGGATAATTTAGATAGCCAGCTAACCTTACTTTTCATTATATTCTCTTGATAATGGAGGTGGTGTTCACTTCAGCATAGCTCACCTGGTTAGTTAGCATAATTGTTCAAACATTCACTGCTCAGATATAGAACCTTTTGAGGTTAGTTGTGTCAATCATAAATAAGTAAAAAAAAAAAAAAAAAAAGTAATGCGTAAAGTAATTACTCAGGTATTAATCAAGTTGAGTATTGTTCTTGATGATCTACAGTAGCAGTAATTTTACTCAAAGCAGTGGGGTTTGTACTCTTTCCACTACTTTCATAGAAGTAGTTTCATAAGTAGTTTCATAAGAAACTACAGTGCAGTGCTGAGTTTGGATTCAGAATGGAAAATATTTGTTTTTTTTTTTTCATTATCCATCAGAAGGGGGCAGCAAAAAACTGTGGAAAACCAAAGAGCCCTGGAACTCATGAGAGCTCTGAGGTGCACTTCCACCTGATGATGAAGACAAAAGTCTGGTTTAATAATGACTTAAAGGTGCATTAGATAAGATTAGTCTTTCGTTTGTTAGGACAGTTAGGTGGGTTCAACTTTTTAATGATTTTTTTTTTTTTACTTGAGCTCATACCACCATTCCCGCCCATGTTCATGAAGCTCCGCCCCCACGAGCCCCTTAGGTGACCCATATGGTGTCTATAAAATGATTGATAGAAGGTGCATCCAAACACAAACAAGCTTTCCGGACCGGAAGTCAGTTTTCCAAACAGGTTTTCTCAGTGACTTTATATACTTTTACTAAGGCTTTGGCTTAAGCCAATGTTTTTTTAATCATGTTTTACATAACTTCCAGATTATTTGTACAAGTATGGAAGAAAAAAATCAACTATTGCACCTTTAATATCTCAAAGTCATAAGTATAATATGTAATATGTGATTATACAATTACTAGGCCTGGGTCCTTGGAGGACTAGTGGTTAGGCCACGGCACTCTCACCACTGTGACCTGGGTTTGAACCCCAGTCAGGGAACTGACCTCTGGGGTTGCACACAACAGGGCATCCGGCATTAAAAACTGTACCAAATCAAATCTGCAAATACCAATGATCTGCTGTGGCGACCCCTAATGGGAGCAGCTGAAAGAAGAAGAACAACAGCAACATGTAATTACTAGGTGTACTCTGTAGTTATTCATTTGTAGGCCCACTTGATTCCATAGCAATTGTATAATTACATAAATAAATAAACTGACACGTCGCTACCTAAACCATGAGCATGTTTACTTTGTAATTCACAGCTTTATTCATGGCTTCGATTATTTAATGATTTATTTAGTTTAATTATGCAAAATGAATTTGCACTTGAAACTGAAACCCATCAGAACACAGTGGGCTTAGAGCTTTTTTTTTTTTATCAATCACTGATGAGCACTAAGTTCTAAGACTGGTAGATGATCCATGTATAGAGTCTTAATAATAAAATGGCTGAAAATATGACGGATGTGCTAGATACTGCTCTGAAATTAACATCGCTCAGAAAAACCTGACCAATTATGAGATATTAAGTCATAATCTCTAGAAAATCTCATTATTAAGACACTAAGTTATAATTTCAACATTTTTTCTAATGATATAATAAATCAGAATTTCTATTAAAAAAACAAAAATATATATTATTTTTATAATATAGTATTTATTTGCAACATTTAATTACAATGTTACAATATTTATTTATAATATTATATTTTAATTTTATTTTATAATATTAATTTGTATTTTTCTTTTTTTTTTTTTTTTTTTCAAATGGAGGACCAAGGTTTAGGAGAACAGCTCAGGAGTTTCTCAGCTGAGGTCCAGTCTATGCAAAACACAGAATGTGGTAGAATTTATATATAATACTGTATTTAAAGTTGTTTGCACTTAATATCCATGTCTATAAATTGATGCATCAGCTGAGATTTTGATACATCAGCTGAGATATAAGAGTTAAAAACATTTCTTCATACTGTGTCTTTGTGTATACGGATATGTATATAAATACTAAAGTCTCGACCTGCCTGTCAAATCATAAAGCTGACCCTTGTACAATTCTACCTTATCTTATGCTATAAAGCACTTCATTCCCCTCACCCATTTTGACTCCAATGACTCATTAGTCACTCTCGTGTTTTTTTCACCGTCAGTCACCTTGGGACAGTAAAATGCTCAATTTTACAATTACTGATCCAAGCAAGCATGGATGACCAGAATTTAATTTAAGGCTCACAGCTCCAGGGTCCCTGGTTCAATCCCGATCCCAAGCCTTCCATTAATGTCTATGTGGAGTTTTGGATGTTGTGCCTGTGTCTGTGTGGTTTTCCTTCAGGTTCTCCAGTTTTCTCCCACCTGCCAACAACAACAGTAGGTGGTTTGGCTGCTGTAAACTGTCCCTAGGTATGAATGTGTGTGTGCATGGTGCCCTGGGATGGACTGGCATCCCATCCATGGTGTATTCTTGCCTCCCAGTGTTTCCAGGATTCACTGTGACCCTGACCAGGATAAAGCAGTTAGTATACAGTATATATATACAGTATATATATATATATATATATATATATATATATAAGAACGAATGAATTAATTTTCAGGGTTTTTATAATGGATGTCACTGTACATGATGTATTTCATGTCACCAGCAGATGGCAGCAGTAGTTTCTTCTTAATCTTGAATCTTGTTCACTTCTGGTCTTTGGTAAGTAAAATTTTTGCCTATCATACTGCATATACAATAAACTCCACTGATATTGTATTTTGGTGTAAAATTGTGATAGACATCAATGTATCTGGAATCCCTATATGATATAATGTGATTTTTTTAAAATAACAATTCCCAATCAATTCCTTAATATTCCTGGTCTATGACAGTGTTTATTTCCATATAAACCAAATTAAAATATTAACAAGTATAAGCTTATGTGTCTCCAGAGCTATTTTTCAGCTCCCACAAATACACACACACTTCTCTCTCACTCTCTCTCACTCTCTCTCTTTCTTACACTCTGTGTGTTTGTGTGTATGTGTGTGATCTTTTAAAGCCCCTCTTATCTGCATCACCACTTACAGACATGTAGACAGTCTCAGTGATAATGTCTAGACCATTAAGGCCTCCCTCTTCAAAATATGACCTTCAGGTGTTTGTTTAAAAGAGGAATAACAAGGCAGAAGAATGTCTGCCTTCAGGAAATCTCACATTTTCTCCATTCTTGTTAATCTCAGAACAAAATGCTCATCATCCAAATCATGGAGCTCCTTATACACATACATATATACATACAGTATATGTGCCTGGTTAAAAAATAAATAAATAAAAATGGCAAAGCTTGAAACCTGAGTTGTACATCACACTCTAGTGAAACAAGAACCAGGCACATTTCCAAACACCACACGCGCCACGTTGCTGGACCCTTTTTTCCCTTCTCCCCCATAAAATAAACACCACAGGAGAGCTCAGGAGTGTTTTACAGAGGCACTTCATACAGCAGGCCTACAGGAAGTCCACCTCCCCGTCTGCTCATTGGTCGAGAAACTGTCCAATAGTGAATAAGAGCAGTAGAGGAGGGTTCACTCAAACCCGAGACAGCTTTGTCTCTTTTTTCGGTTTGTTTTCTTTTTGCTTTACCACGTCTGAGGGCACGTGCAGAGGAGGAGGGCATCTCTGAGCACAAAGATCTGTGAATATGTGCTAAGATCAAAGTGCAGGAGATGGAGGAGATATAAAGAGAGAGAGTGGAAATGTGGGTTTGTCATCTGACAAAACGAAAACAGGACAGAAAGAGATAGAGATTAGATGAGAAAGCGTTGAGAAATCCCATCACATGTGTCACATGCTGTGGGAAAATGACCCTGAATACCATATTCTTTGTTTTACCCTAGAGAGAGGCTTAGTAATTTAAAGGAAAGCAGGAAATGGTCACATCATCACGGCTTCCATCTAGCTCTCCGTTTCCTGTCATCAGTGCCTTCTTTATCATAATAAAAGCAGATAATTTTCATTATTGAATTAGTTCTGTACAGACAATGTCTTAATGTACTTGTTGAATGTTAATTCAGTGGTAAACAACATTTTAAAAATCCACGGCCCACAAAAGCTCTCTGAGCCCAAAAAACAGGTTGGAACTGAACCATCCATTACTAATGCAAGTGCAGAAGTTTGTGTTCCCTTAGGACAAAATACAGAAGGCAAAGGAATATAGTTCACATGTAGACATTTAATGTATCAGCTTATGCAAATGTTCTTTCATTAATTAAAAAATTCAATAAATAATAGTGCAATAAATAATAAAATTGGTCAAATAGTATATTTTAAGATATTACACACTCACTCACGTACAGTAAACGCTTATCCTGGTCAGGGTCAGGGGGAGTCCAGAGTCTATCCTGGGAACACTGGGTGTGAAGCAGGAATACACCCTGGACGGGATGCCAGTCCATCACAGAGCATCATGAGCACACACTCATTCACACCTATTCGTGATTTATCTTATATTTATCAAAGCCACCTACTGGCTTGTTTTTGTGAGGTGGGAGGAAACCGGAGTGCCTGGTGTGGACATGGGGAGAATATTCTTAGAAGATAGATAGATAGATAGATAGATAGATATTTTTAAACAACCCCATTGTTCCTGATATACTATAAGTTCAATGTCATACACTGCCTTCTTGAAATCATAACAGCAAATTATTATAAATTATTACAAATTATTGTCTGTGATACATCCACATATAGTCTCAAACACCCCCCCCCCCCCCCCCCCCCCCCCCCCCCCCCCCCCCCCCCCCCCCCCCCCCCCCCCACCACTCAGAAATGTTTTGGGTTGGTGTACAAACTTTTGCACTGAACTCTACCTCAGTAATCAACATTGGTAATCACAGAAAACAGGCCTAAACGAGCTACAACATGACTTAACCAGGTCTTCACCTTGATTAGTTTTTAAATGAAATGAAATGATGGTTTTTAATTACGGTATAAATGCCTGACTAAAAAACAAATTGGCACCCCACTGCAGTACCAAGATCATCCACTGGGGGGTAACAAACCACAGCAGGAAAAACACTGTCCTGTAGTTAAATAAATACTGTATTCATTGGCTCAAAAGTATGCCCTGTTCCACAGACATGTGCTGTTACTATTAATCTCATGTTTCTATACTCTGAAGCACCGAAGAATTCAAGGTATTCAGCTTTGAGGGCCCAAGACAAAGTTATTTTTTTAGCAGCTAATCTAGTCATGAGTCATGTTTGTTAACTGAATCAGGTCTCACTTTGCTCCACATTCTTGACTGCTTTATTCACTGAAGTGTGATCAGTGGCTGACAAAACTGACTGGTTGTTTATCATCAGAAAATGACAGAAATGCAGCAAAGATGTGCTAAAGGGCTTTTTGAAGCAGCCAGCCTCGTGACATTAGCTCACATTTTCCTATTTCGCCCTTGGGCAAGGCATCATCCTTCAACATATCTGTATCTCTCTTATCTGTTTGTTAGCTGTTAGATATGTGCTTGGGTAAATCCATTTTTTATTGTGAGAAAATGCTTCTTTATCTCCTGAGTTAGGTAATAAGATTAGATTCAGTACTAAAAAAATAAAAACTTGGGCTAAATGTTTACTTTATCAGCAATTTCCAGCTGAGATATTACTTTCTGTTTTTATATGAATAAATGATACAAAAAGTATCCTTGTAAGTAAATTTAGTTCAGTATTTAGTTTATTCTGAAGAATATCATTATTACATTGATTGATTGAAAGTATTGTGATAACCATCAAATCGGTGGCAGAATATATGTGTGTATATATACATACATACATATATGTGTGTGTGTGTGTGTGTGTGTGTGTGTGTGTGTGTGTATATATATATATATATATATATATATATATATATATATATATATATAAATATATATAAATACTAAATACTATAAATCTCACGTTAATGCTATTTAGCTAACTGTACTAACTGTACTATAGTGTCTAACACACAGTCTCTATACATT